AATAATTAATATATCATAGTTTAATGCCATCAAAAGCAGGATAATGAAGAGAAATATCTCTTGTCCATATCATGAACTATGTAACTTTCCACAAGGATATATTATTTCAGACAGTATTATTCAATTTAAACGCGTTATATATTCTTATAATCTTACAATAGACAGTTAATTTGCTTATGCATTTGCTGGCAGTTAGTTAAATGTAGTGTAAAATTCCCATGTGAATTTATCCAAGGACAAAATAAATCGTATTATACTTATCAAGCGTTTAACATCAGCATTGCAGAAAGAGCATATACTTTAATTCTCTCTCATCCCAAATGACCCTATCTAGCTTGTAAACCTAATAATGATTAACAGAGAAGGACGAGTTCTAGTGAAAGGGTAATACAAGATTGTGAGTTTTCTTGGTTTTTTTTCATGCTCATATGTTAAAAGCTTAGAGGAGCAATGAAAAAGGATTACTCTCGATATTTTCTCATATTTCAAATAGGTTTACAATAGCTTACAACTCTGGTCCAATTTCTGAAGATACATTTGTTTCGTCAGATATAACAATAATAAGATTAGGTTTAGTTAGGTAGAGTGTTCGGTCCTTGGCTGAAGTTAGCAGTTCGATTTATAGCGCATAATGTTAACCGCGGAGCAATTGTCAATCAAGGATGTGTCGAACTCGAAGAAATTCTGGCACTTGCATGTGCGTAGTCCCATACCAATGTTAGTGTGCATGGCATGCTTACATCCTGCATTTGAAACAAATCAAAATGACAGACTATATCAGATTAACATTTGTTAGTGTTTTTAAAAATTTCCTGTTTCCAAAGAAAATTATGACATAATTACATGTATGTTATTGCCCCTGTGAATAGAATCAATCGTCTAGTTTACAAGGTATTTTTTTTATAAAGCAATTCGTTTGTGGTGACTATAGCATACTAAATTGTTATTTGATTTCAAAAAGTAAACTGTATTACAAAAAGCAGAATAACATTCTTTATCGATTTCATGTACAAAACAAAGTAAACATTTCGAGAGGCAAATTTGAGATCAAATTAATCAAAAATAAAGACGCGTGCAAGTTGTGATTTTTGTCTACATTTTTTCTTAATATATTCTTTACCCTATCTTTCGTTAAATGTCGTCAATACTGGACATGTACACCTGGTGTAATTTCATTTGTCAAAATAGAATTAAACTTCTTGTTTTTGATGTGCGCTTCTCATGAAGTTCCATTTCGAAGTAAAGTTCCGTGTATATCCTCAAATGTATTTTGTTTGAGGAAGAAATATAATTCTAAAGAAAGAATTGCGATGTTCTTTGGTACAGTTATTTCAGATCGAACTGAAAGGTTGGAAAGTGACTTAATACTACCAAAACTCGGCTGAGGATGTTTGATTCCCTGTTTTAAGAAATATATTTCGGTATGTACCTCACTTTGCCTCAAACTCTGATGTGCGATCTTATACAATGGCGGGACATCACAGACGAGAGGAGGAGCTATGTTTGTGTTTGAAGACAAATCGTGCGTGGCTAGTAATTATTTATTCTTACACGTTGAGGCCATCTTTCTTATCCTGAATTGACATGGGAAAGAATGCTGCTACGTTTCCCTCCATCGTCTTCATAACAAGTGCGAGACTAGTACCTTTACTGTGGCAGATTAGTCTTGAAAAAAAGTTATCAAATAAAGTGGTAGATGTATACTGCTACAACTACAACTACCACTACTACTAATTAAAAAAAAATACTTTTACTACTACTAATACTACTACTATTACTACTACTAATAATGTTAATGATAATAATAATAATAATGATAATAATAATACTACAATTATTACTACTACTGCCACTTCTTCTGAAAAAGAGAAACACTGAATCTGATGAAGTTTATAACCTTGTATCGGTCCCTGACTCCACGCTCATGTCGAGATCATTGAACCAATTTGCCAATGTTATCTTAATACTGAAAAAGTAATTCATTCCCGACTTATTGATGAAGACACAAAGAAAATTCTTGCATTGGCATGATAAAGCTTACATAAGCCTATAATGTATAGTAGTCATTTCAGCTTTAAAACATGGAAGAAAGTGATGATAGAAATGTTGATTATCTTGATATACGTTAACGTGATGGTGATGATGGTGATGGTGATGATGATGATGATGATGATGATGATGGTGATGGTGATTGTGTTGATGATAGTAAAAAGGCTTTTCTTTTTCAAATATGTGAAAGATATGTGAAAGTAGATATGTGAAAGTACTGTAATTCTGAATAATTCTGAATAATGATCCCAATATCTTCCACACTATCTTCGTAGCCAAACATTACTCTAACTTAATCCACCTGGAACGAATGTTAGTATTTATCCCGCTAAATCCCTTTTAGAGCCCTTTTCACACCCCTTTAGCGTTAACTTCATCCCCCGACTTTATCGGTTTATCCACATACATGTACCACTGTCTCTTTACCATTCTGCCTAATGCGTGCATGAGCGACTTGTATCAAAGTACCTAAATATCTGGAAAAAGTTTTAATCTTAAATAGAAAAGACCAACTCAGAAGGAATTGGTTTATAGGATTATACGCTACACAACCACTTCATAAAATAGCTCAGTAGGATTTTGTGATTTATCTTTGTCTAGAATACATTAACAAGACACTACGCTTCTTTTAACAAAATGAATCAGTTAATAGGTTCCACAAAATGTGCTTTTTTTTGTATTTATCTTGGCATCCCATTTGTTAACATTCTCCATTCTACTGTTAAGCTTAAATATAACTCTTCATGAAAAAATAACACTGTATAAATGGGTGATACAGTCATGTACAGTATTTATTTGCCTTGAGAGGAAGATCCAACGTTCCTTTTTCGAATCAATTATAGGAAACACAGATACGTGCTGCCTGTAATTATTTTCTATTTTTGTTAAGCTGACAAATCCTAAGTTCACATTCTTGTATTTTCCGGCAACACAGATATTTTCGGATGTTGACCGAAGTTCATTGAAATGTTACCAACAATTACATGTTATTTATTGATGGCAACAATGGTGGGAAAAGGTTCTGTTATGATATATTGGGGGCTGATACATGTTAATTTCAATAGTTACTCAATTGTGTGCTGTCCGTTAAGCTGAAGTGTTAACCAATAGTGTTGTATATATATATATATATATATATATATATATTGACTAATTAGCCATGCACTGTTGATAATAAAAACATGAGCTTTTCCTCTTATGTACTTTTATTTACTTTTTTGAAGTATCTATACAATAATATTGTTTATACTATTACTTCCATTGATAATAATCAGGAATATTAATGCAGTGATATTGAAACATAAAAATATCGTAATTATAATGGTGATGATGATGGTAATAATAATACATACTAATAATGATGATAAGATTGAATATAACAAGATTGATAATTATGATAAATAACAACACCATGAACAACTTCAACAACAAACCAGAAAGATCGTTGCTAAAGAAGTTCATAATGGCAGTGTTTGTTTATTGAAAAAACATAACAGTCTAAATGAAACAAGGAAATGTAATGATACATATCAAAATAATGTAAAATATGTATGAATAATAAATACATTAATTCAGAAATAGCATCGCAAGTGATTAGATCAATTATTTTACGAGAATTATGAGCAAATGATAGATGTAGACATAACGTGATGGATTCAACTTTATGTACATGTAGATAAAGTTTGGCTTACCATAATCATCCCAGCATTGCGCGTGTTTGTATGGTAGCGCGACCAGACTTGCTCCGGGTATTATTTCATCAGCAAGTAGCGGTTTCAAATCGGGTCCAGGTTAGGTTTAGGGCCGGGGTTTGGGTTAGGAAAAGTGTTTGTTCCAGTGATGATGTTACAGAATCAGTTAGTGCAGAAAATTGACCGCGGAGGAACTGTTTTATTTCGTAGGACTGAAAATAACTATATCAAACTTCGAATTATGACTATTTTCTAAATTTAAGGTTTGATATTTATATAATTACATTGGCACGGCCATCGACCTTAATCTTGATTTTCAGCTCATTTATTAATACTAGGATCAATGTATCGAATGCAAACGTCAATATGAGCCACTTTCTTATGCCTGCTGATAAAATAAACAAAATGGGGTTGTTGAAGTTTCTGGTAAAGAAAAAAATGAAAAGAATGTATTTACAACATCGATTGGCCTATTATTGCAATTATGAAGTACATTTTTTCAATATATTAGCGATGTTCATATGATTGCAAAATGTTTTCATAATGTATATTATTATGATTGTACTGTAAAAATATTTACTGAATAAACAGATTTTATTTTAGACTTTTATATAACTCTTTTGAAAATAAGTTTAATCACCAGAGCCTCACCACACATATAGGAAAAGACTAGTTTATTCCCCCCCTCATTTTGTATATGTCCAACCAATGTATACTATTGTACAAGATTACATTATTCGATATTTGCTCGTCCTCTTTATTCCATTTATCAGTGGTGATAAGGCATGGCCTTGTCTGTATCTATATCTATATCTATATATATTATTTAGGCCTATATGGAAAGGTAAACACAGGAGATGATTTGTGGGGACCATGAACAAACATCTTGATTTCTCATAATTACATTAATAAGATTAACATTTGAAAAATGAATACAAACAAGCATAGTCATTACGAATGTACAGTGAATAATTATGTGAATAGTTCGTTGCCAAAAAACTTGCCGATCACTGTTTAAAAATATTTCTTAACAGTAATACAAATTGATAATCCCATTTTACACCCTTTTCCAGTTTCTCTATTATTTGATAATTCAAATACTTTGACTGCCAAAATCGTAAAAGCACACCTTCTCTCAACATGTCTTATAATAGTGAATTTGTAATTATATATTCATATATATGAATAATCTAATTTAATTTTTCGACAACACACATTCTAATGTTTATCTCATATATTCTTTTGTATCATTCATTGCAGGTCCGAATGTTGGTCTTGAAGTCGGCAGGAAAAGGTGTCGGCAGACTTACACCCGCTACCAGACACTCGAACTTGAGAAAGAGTTTCACTTCAACCGCTATCTGACACGAAGAAGACGAATCGAACTCAGTCATCTCCTCGGATTGACAGAACGACAGATCAAGATCTGGTTCCAGAACAGACGGATGAAATACAAGAAAGAGAGCAAGAACAAGGAGGAAGGAGGATCGGGGGAAGGGGAAGGAGAAAACGAGAGCGAATCGACGGGTACGGAGAACGCTCAGCCTCAGAGCGCCGTACACGGCGTGACGATACTGGAAAAACCGTCGTCGTTAGTACTACACGTAGATGATACCGTGGGACTAAACGCTGTACGGCATTCATGAAAAGGTTGATTAGTTGAAGAAAAAGGACTGTATTTAAACAAAACATATTTGTTCCTTGACATCAGTTGATAATTTATAAAAACAAATAGTCAGGGGATTGATTGAAGAGTTTATGTGGAACCCTAGGGTATTATCATATCATATTGTGACGTTATTGTGTGTGTGTGTTTGTCACCTGGTTGTAAATAGTATTAAAACAAACTGGATGTGTAAATTATGTATATAATCTCTGGACTTCATGTGTATAGAGATAGAAACAGTCTTGGAATGTTGACATAGTTCAAAGGTATGCTGAAGCACAGTGGTGTCATCACACATCACGCGGGCGCCGGACAGCCAATGGGAACGGCCCGATTCACTCACTCTATTCGCTGGTCTCCTTCAGTCACGTGACGTACTCACCTCAGATATTTACACGCATGCTATTTTATTTGTTGATTTTGTTGTTGTTTTATTACCATGCCCCACAATTTTCACAGTACTACGTAATATAATGTGCTGCACTAATTGATCCACCGATGTACATGTATATAATTACACGGAAGTATAATTTTCAGGGGTATATTTTGCCGAGAATGATTTTTAAATGATGAAGAATGGCCTGAAATGCTTTACTCAGGTGGCAACATGTGAATAGCCACATTCATATCAACAGTAAAGACATATTATAAGTGCAAGAACCAACAAAGCAACGAAATGCTTCAGGAATATCTGTGTTTGGGACAAAGGTTATTCAAAGTGATGATATTCATCATGTTCATGTTTAATTAAAAGCTTAACTGCGTTTCATTTTGTAAGAAAGTACTAACATCAAGGAGAAAAAAACGCATTTGGGGTCAGGAACTCGCGGGAAAATCACTTTCATATCTCTATTGCTAAATTTCCCACTTTCAATCAGAAAAAAAAAAGTGTTAGACAGACATGATATTTGAACAGGGGGTAATTTCACACGGGAAATTAAATCCTTGTTCGTTAAAGGAACTAAAGGGCTTTAATTAGTAAATCTGGAAATATTATATGGAAATCCTGCTGTTTAGTGTAAATTATTATGTTATTGAGGATGAACGTAGAATCTCCCTATAATTTCATCGTACTTTGTTTGAATGTCGCTCAATAAGAAAAAATATAAACATTCCATAATGTTACCAACCTATATGGTCACAACATTCCAAAGGTTTATTGCAAACAGAATTGTCATCATTTTTGTCGAAATTGTTTGATTTTCTCCTCTACAAATAATTGTATACAGAAATATAGTAGGTATTGGTTAATTTTGCATCGTGTCTTTTTGATATCATAGAAGACTTTTAATTCTAAGAGCTCTATCTGACCTCACGACAAATGAATCTGATGTTGAAGATTTCCGTTTATCAAAACAAATTTTTTTTACACAAATTATTGTAATTATCAGCAATTTGTAGACCCTAAAAAGAGCTCTATTACGTGTGTCTTGTTAGATTTTGATTCATGATAGTTCCCCCTCATATTTTCATCTCCAAATCAAACTAATTATTGTTCTATTACTATTGACTTATTACCTCACTACCAAATTATTTTCATTACTATTACCTTATTTCCTGAAGTATCTATTATTTTGTTTTAAAGTGTTATACTTTGATACCCTTAATGTCCTTTTCAATATCATTCATTCTCTTCCATATTTGAAAACAACCTTTCCACCTTCTTTTTTTATTAGTGCCGAGATAAAAACCTAATTGTTCCTACCTGTCAATATCTTGAATTTGTACATGATTTTTTTAGCCCCGAAATAAGGTAGCTTAATGTTTCCTGTGATTTGTACTAAATGACATGTTAGGAGCATTAGATAGCAATTTTGAAGATGTACCTGCTGATTAAGACTCTGATAACCCAGGTGTACTCTATTGTTTCAGGAAATTCCAACGTTGATAGTTTGCTTGAAGGAAACTGTGGTAACTCTAGTAGTGCACTCTGTATAGTGTTCAGAATGCGAACACCAAACGTTGCTTGTGTACATAACAACCCAGATACCCATAAAACTATTAGATCAGAAAAAGACAAAAAGTAATTACATATCTGTTTGTATTTGGCTATTGTTAGTACAAGCATGCAGCAGCGATGGCCAATATACATCCATTTTGACAAATTATGCCTTGTTTAACTTAACTTGAACTCGAGCTTGTAAAAAAAAGTATGATGGGTTGTGTTCCAAAGGGAACAAGATGTTTCAACAGATGTGCAAAATGGCCATCCTCCAGGGATGATTTCAAATCGAACATTGCCAAAAATGCAAATGACTAACCGTGCATTTCATTTCATTCGAGATTTTAGAGGGTTTTTCCGAAACGATGCAATTTGAGGTTGATATTGTTTGTTCGCAGACGATGTCGCCGCTATTTAGCGCGCGCTAAACGGTTTCGCGCCATTGCGCATATGATTAACAGTTACAATGTAGCGATATATGTTTCTTATTATGGATTCATGCCCGCCGTCTGGCATACGCAAATTCAGCTATGGTGGAGTACAGACGAGGGTAGGGCCCTTAAATGAAACTTGATTGATGATGTCGATTTCTGAAGAATAGATCACGGTAATTGACCGAGAAAAAGGAGGGCGAGCATGCAGAAAAGCCCCATATCTCACGCCTCAATGCGTGATAAATCTCCGCCTGAATCAGTGCCGGGGTACCGCGACGGAGACGAGGCGGGTTGATTGGATATATTATTGGGATGCGCTCGATTTGTTTCTGTTAACCACGTATGTGTATTCAATGCTCTCCAACCCCTCCCCTAATCTCCCCAGGCTCCCTCTAATATATATATACATCTATGCCTTAATTTCTTAACAACATATATCTTAATGACGAAGGTCCATGTTGGTATGTTTACAGAGCATCGCTGGTCGGTGAACATCTGAACGAGAAATTATTAATTGCTGTAGCTGATGTCATTTTTCAAAGGTAGAAATTATAAATGATGAAATTAACTAGGACGAAAGTCAAAGCAAGCTGGCCGGGCTGAATCAAATCCTCAGGGTGTTTAAACAGTCCTATCGTACTGGACTAAAGGGGTTAATCGAAATGAAACAATGGTAATGAAAATGAATTGAAGACCACTCAAACATACAAGCACGTATAATTGCAGCGCTCCAGGCCTACCTCTCACAATGACATCATCATCTGGTGTTTATGATTTATTTATCGTTCTCCTCCATTTAACAAAATATTTAGGACATCTTGATGTGAAACAAGAATATTTAAAAAAATTGCACTCTCCCATCTAACATTATTTTAGGTATAGACATCTGTTCAATGAACATGCACACAAATCAAAAAGAAATTTAAGACAGTAGCTATACGATAGATATACCCGGGACTTTATACATAGACGTATATTCGTGAAATTAAAGCAGTCAAGTTTTTATAATTGATATTTTACAGAATTATGGTGAACAAAACCGAGCCACCCAAAATGTCATTTTTATTTCATTGTTATTTATTTCAGAGTAGCAAGTTTCTGAATACACCCATAACGAGATCTTGTCAACCTCAAACGATTGGCACATTACATTGTGTGTGCTTTTGTTGAATTTTTGATAATTATATTATTCAATTGCCGTGATTTCACCCGAATAATATCATCAAAAATATTTGTCCGTCATTTTTTTCTGGCCTAAATGTTCTGGTTTTCAAAAACAAAGATGATTTATGTTAAGCGTTTCTCCAATTATGTTACCCATTTACTCAAAACTAAAATATCGAGAGGTAAAGTTATTGATATACACTGAGACTTAAAAAGTGAAATTATTATACTGCATGTGACTCCATTGTGATGGTTTTCACTGAGCTATAAAGGTGCAAATATTTGTGAAATTTTTATTATGAATGTCTATGTGTGATATGTGGATATATTGCTTTAAGAACAATAAAAAGGAAAACGAAAACAATATTTTGAATTAACCATTTCATTTGTATATTTTCTCGAGTCTATACCGTTTGTAATGCCATGGATGTGGATGGCTTATACGGAGATATTATACTAGCAGGTCATTATATTAGATCTTTATAGGTATCATTGACAATTCAAAAGCCTTATATTAACATATTAACACTAAATTTGTGATATTTGGTTTGGTTTAATTTATTTTCTTCTACATCCCATATAAGTATAAACAATTTTTGGTAACATAACAATATAAAAAGTATTACGATGATGATAATAATGATGATTGTATGAAATATATAGTTAAAGGGATGAAAGACTATTATGACAAAGACTAAAAAGTTGACATCGAAATTTGATGAGAGATGAGAGAGGGAGGGAGAGAGAGAGAGAGAGAGAGAGAGAGAGAGAGAGAGAGAGAGAGAGAGAAAGAAACTAAAAATAAAAGGTAACGTGGAAGGAATAATGATAGATAAATTAACATAACATTAGACATAAACTTTTGTAGCTTTTTAGATTCTAAATTCCCAGTTACAGTAAAATGGTAAACATCTGTACAAAATCTAGTAAAAATAAACTGTGTCAATAGAGTCTGGGAGAGTGGGGACAAATCCCATTTAGTCTAGATTATCCGGGATTGGATTAAACAGTTCTCTAATGTGGGCGAGATGGGATGAGGGGGAGGGGGCTCCACTGAGCCTACCATATAGGAGCCAGACTAGGCTGTTATCAGTCACTGCCCCTGCCCTTGTCCCCTCCAACCCCGCCCATTGTTTAAAAAAAAATAAAGCCGACTTTTGGAGGGGATCAGTAGCCAAAGACCCATTAACGGATTAAAGCTTACAAAAGATGAGTAGCTGGTCGGTTCTTGTTTTCTTCCATTCCTATTGAATTAATCCTCGTATTCTTGTCGACATGAAATTAGCTGACAGGATTTTTATCTCCATAACAGTCTCTGCTATCAAAAGCAGGGTCGATATCTAGAGTTCCTAGAAAGAAAGAAAAAGAAGAAGAAAAAAAAGAACGCGAATTGAATGTTTCATATAGGGTATATACAGTAACGCTTACCGTTATATCTTGTTTGTAAG